TTATAGTATATTGGGGTGTATATTAAGGTCCCCGATTTTCGGAAACTAGTATGTGGGTGATCCGAGCCATGATCGTCTTGTAGGAAGGAAACAAGCGGCCTCGGACAAAGAAGGCTGGACTGCTGGACTGCTCAGCAATGCGTAGCATCTGCTCCTCGATCGCAATCCGCATCTGTGCGCAGCTGGGTGTTCAAACCTAGCACAAAGCATGCTTCTGACAATTCATGACAACCTGAGTACAGTAGATCAGGTAGACAGTTCTGAGACACACCTGCCATGAGTCTGCAGGAAGTGGTTCATGGCTGCCCATGAGATAGAATAGAAAAAGCGCATTTATTGCCAAGACACAGAGAGTGGCAGCAACATTAGCAGTCCCAGCAAATAGGGTAAATTAGGGGGGAAGTAGGCACTTGCCAGGAAAATAGGACCTTGGCCCAGCTGATTCTGCAATGATGAAGCCGTGCACATACACAGTATTGGCTGCAGAGCATGCGCATGCAGACGTGCAGCCAGCGAGGCCTGCGGACCAGCGCTGTATCCGAGTATCCCCATGCAGAGAATGAATTTGGTTTAACAGCTGATGTCAGTACGTAATGCCATGCTAGTCTCCGTGGCCAGTGGCAGCAAATTCGTGTTCACGTTCGTGCAAGTCTTGTTCTTCATTTGCTTCTCTATGATCATTCTGATGCTGAAGAGGCGGCAGGTGGCGCGCTTGCCACTCGCATGCCACGCTGCATCTCGGGCCTGGTGCGCCGTGCCGCTACTAGCTGCTGGGCTGTAGCATGGTAGTTATCCTAAACGGTCCTTTCCTGCAGGTGAACTCTGCAAGGACTCGAGGCATTTCCTCCACAACTTTAACAACTGCAATAGCAGCACCATTAAGAAAAAAAGGCGCCAGAGGCGGCAGCGGCAGCAGCGGCAGCAACCACCACAGCAGCAGCACCAACCGCAACAGCGGCGGCAGCTGCGGCGGCGGCAACAGCAGCATTTATGGGGACTTTCTCATGCTCAAAATTGAGGGCACGTCCAGAACAGCTTTGAAGTCTCGGTTGGCCATTTTACCACTTCAGGCTAAAAGTGTATGTTCGCGTGCATTTTCTTCCAGCATAATTGCCTTTTGCAAGTCTTCTTTTCTGGTCACTGAGACCAAAGCATGTGAGACATGTTCCTAGATGCGGATGTCGAAGGCATGATCTATCGGAAGGTTTGGAGACCGGCTGATGCATATCATTGTTCTCACCCGTGCTGTCAAAAAAACGATGCTTTCCAAAAAAAGAGTGTGGTTGAAGACACCGACAAAGCTCGAAAGAAACAGCGCCAGGTATTCATTATTCCGCCGTAAACATGTGGTGTTGACGCGAATATGTGGCAGAGAACGCACCGCCAGAAACGCCAAGCGTGGGTAGCACTGCCCGGAGCAGCAGGACCGGCAGTACTGCTAGTCATCGTTGCGATCGTGGTCGTTGATTTTGCTGTTGTTGTGGTAGTGAGAGGTTCCAAGCTGGTTTTGCCGGAGCCCACAGCAGCCCGCAAGCAGGTTGAAGGGAGCTTGGCGTGTGCAGTTTCAATGTGGCGGTGAGACTTACACCCAGAAGAAAGGCAACGTATTTTCGAAGGAACTTGCATTCCGGTTCACATTCCTCGTGTCTCCCTTGGGTAAGATAATAAGCAAGAATCTTGTGTATGTCCCTCGGCATGATGAGGTCAGCTGCCGCCATGCTGTAAGACGACTCCCAGCTCGGCACTGCACCAAGGCCGCTTTGGATTGGCGCCAGTTGGCTGCCCGCAGCATGACTGGAACCGTTTGCGGCAGAGAGGGCCTGGTGTTGAGTGTGAGTTTGGGTTTTGCAATAGCAGTCAACTGCCGTGCCTGCTTAGCTGAAGCTAGGCGGCCAGGTTGCGCGTTGGAACTTGGATGAGGTGCTCTTCCTTTTCTTGGGGTGTGCCGATGTTTGGAAAGGCATATTTGAGACTTAGCTTGGCACATCTGAATCTTATTTTAGCTGATATGCAAAATCTCAGAAGAGAAGATAGCAACTGGCTTCAATGAAATCAAAGATGTGGCATTTTTGAAGCAGAAAAATGCGGAGCGAATAGACTCATACATGAACTGTTGAATCCGTTGACATGGGACAAGGCACAGAGAAGGCCTTGGAGGCTGTTTCCGACCATGTGCCATCTCATCAAGAAATCGCCGCCGTTCGCGACGAGCTCTTGAGAGTGGCCAGCCTTGAGGAGATGTTGCCACAATGGGAGGGATAGGATTATAGGGGTTATGATATAGGGTTATGTAGGGTTGATAAGGATACACGGGGTAATATGTGGGTTATGGAGGCTGGCGTTTAGAGTACCCGAAAACGTTAGGTCCCACAGCAAGCCGTATCCGAAGGACCCCTTCTTAGTCCTGAGAATAGTTTATCTAAATGGAAAGGTGCGTCCGCCATGCTGTTCAGCAAAATCCGGATTCGATTCGCGTGCAGATAAAAACATGCCCAAGAGCATATGGTCACCCCAAAGCCGGGATAGCTATTTCATTTTTCCCTATCTGAACCCCCAAGCCCTGCACCCTCCGCAAGCCTTGCATAATCGTCCCTTGCAGAAGTGCGGCCAGGAAACACAGGTTTCCGCTGAAGAGCTTCGCATGGAAGTGGATCGGTGCCATGCAAAGGTTAGCTGGTACGAACAGTTGTTTCAGGACAGGCCTGCCCCCAACTTCCCCCATTCTTTGCATCCGAATCACTGCTGTGAACGGCACTGGGCACCAGCACGAGCACGAGCATTACCAACAGTACCATCATCACCATCAACAACAACATCATCATCATGAT